GACGCTTCCTTTCTTTGGACATCAGAGTGTCAGGAGGCTTTCACACGTCTCAAGGAGGCCTTGAGCCGTGCCCCTGTTTTGAATTTACCGGATCCTACCTTGCCTTTTGTGCTTACCACTGACGCCAGACAGTATGGTGTAGGGGCGGTACTTCAACAAGATGATGTGAATGGGTTGCAGCCTGTAGAGTACATGAGCAAGAAGATCAAAACAAAGAAGCTGCAAAATTCTACCTATGAGAAAGAGCTCTATGCTCTTGTGTCAGCGCTTAAGCATTGGAAGCACTTCCTCTTGGGCAGGCACTTCAAAATCTTTTCCGATCACTCCACCCTACAGTGGATGAAGTCCCAGGGAGAACTGAATGACAAGCTTGCTCGTTACATTCAGTTCATTGACATGTTTGACTTTGAACAAAAACACAAGAAAGACTGCTATAATCGAGTAGCATATGCCCTTTCTCGTAGGCTTGGCGCTCTCTTCTTGATCTCCTTCACTCACTCGTTTGGAGATAAGACTCGTCAGACCATTGCCCGATTGCTGCCCCAAGATGTGATTTTTGGGCCTATAGTGAGGACTCTCCAGGATGATTCTGCATCTGAACCAGGATATACTCTGGTTTCAGACCTGCTGTATACTTGCAGCAGAGGTGAGGAACGCTTGCGCATTCCCCATGACCGCAAACTGAGAACACTCTTGATGTCAGAGTGTCATGATGCTCGTGGTCACTTTCGAGCCCTTAAATTGTATGCAGCCCTATCGCAACGCTTCTTCTGGAAGGAGATGAGGAGTGACATGCTGCACTATGTGGAAACCTGTGAGCTATGCGAAAGGAACAAGGTAGTACGACGACCTCCCCTTGGCCTACTCAAACCACTACCCATCCCCGAGGCATTTGCACATTCAGTGTCTATTGACTTTACTGACTTAGGTAGGACCACACCTCGTGGTATGTGTCAGGTATGGTGCGCGTGGATCGGTTCTCCAAGCAGCATTTGCTGACCGGTGGGTCACACATCATGGACCACCTACCTCTATAGTCAGTGACCGAGATCCTCGTTTTTGCAGCAATGAATGGCAATCCTACTACAGGGATTACCTTCATTCCAGACTGGATATGGCATTTGGTCGTCATCCTGAAGTCAATGGACAGGCTGAAGTGATGAACCAGATTTTATTTCAGTTGCTGCGTCCTGTGATTAGTCCAGATCAGCAGGACTGGGATCTCCATTTAGGGCGTGCACAACATGTATATAACAAGTTTGTACACTCCTCCACAAGCTTTACACCCTACCGGTTACATTGGGGTCGTGAGCCACGGCAGCCTCTCGATGACATCATCGATAAGGCTACCCCTACGATGATACTTGGATTTGCGGAGTTCACCAGGCATTACCGTGTGGACATAGAGCGCGCCCGTGCCAACCTGCTGAAAGCTCAAAAGGCTATGATTCAGCAGGCTAACAGGCACAGACGTCCTTCTACTATTCGCACAGGTGACTGGGTGTGGGTACTCAGTTCTGAACTGTCGCGAGAGGAGGATATTTCGCCTAAGCTGCTGCCACGATACATGGGTCCATGGCAGGTCTTAGATACAGTGGGAGCTGATCCATTTGGACCATCCTATACAGTGGATGTCCCTCTGCATCTACAAACCTACCTTGTCTTTCATGCATCTAAGTTGTTACCATTCACCTCAGCTGATGCATTCCCAAACAGGCCTCCTCAGTTCGGTCCCCCTATCCTTGGCAAAGGATATGAGGTGGAATCTGTGGAGGATGAATCAGGTACAGATCCAGATAAGGAGTATCTTGTGAAGTTCTTATACCAGTCGCATACTGAAGATCGCTGGTTTACTCGCAAGGAACTTAAAACCGCAAAGTCTGTTATCCTCAGGTATGAGGCAGCGCAGAAGGGAGAATCCCTTCGACGCTCTGCGCACCTACGCCCCTAGCTCGGAGGTCCTCGCTCCGGGGGAGGGTAGGTCTGCAATGACTTGCTGTTTTCCGGTCGCTTGTAGCCTCTCTCTGTCGTGGTTGTACCATAGGTAGGGTAGATTCGTAATTTTGTTGGCTGAGGGCTAATCGAGAGACCTACTTGTAGTGGAAATTCGTTAGGGACATATCTGCAAATCTGGGAAAATACAGGCCCAGCACTAACTGAATTTCCTACTGCTACCCTAACTATGAATAGCAGGCTCGGGCTACCCTTAGGACAGACAAGCCCTAAAGGCCTATATTGATAGACGGTCCTATAGCCTATAGCCGGGTAAGGTAGAGGCCGAGAGGCCGAAACTGAAACGATACCGGTCGGTCAGGCAGTCCGGTCTAGGTCGACTCTAGGCTAGAGTAGCTATAGATAGGTTAGGCACATCGGTTCAGGGCTTTTGGGAAGTTGGTACCAACTACATCGCGGTTGCGCTACGCGTGAACCGGAAATGGTGACAACTCAGCGTTGTAGGAGACAGCCATAGCCAGACCTTTGGAGCGCCGACATTAGCTGGGGCCTGCGCTGTACTCTGTCAGCACGTGGGGCTGTCAGAGGCCTGGGCTATTGAGATCTGCTGGAGGCGAGAGAAGTTGGTGCCCTGCTGGACCCTCCTCCGGAGTGGGGTTCCAGGGTTGTGGGGCTGCAGCCATAGCTGCAGCTTCTTCCTCAGAGGTCATCTTGTCAGGATCTGGTGGCCCTGCTGCAGACTTCCATCCGGGAAGTCTTCCGACACTTCGTCATCATCAGATACTGTGGCGCTGGTCTTCTTCTTCATCCTCTGAGTGGCACTTGGCCTCAGAGGCATGTTTCAGGGTGGCACTTCCCTTTGGAGGCTGTATCTGGGTGGCGCTTGACGTTTCAGGGGCTCAGGGGTGTCACGAGTAGTTACTCAGGGTTGGGAAGTGAAGCGCTGCTAATTTCTGAGCAGTGCACTGTAGGTCTGAAGTTATTCTGACAATTTGAGACTCCGAGTTTAAACAGTGTAATACTGGGTTTGAACTATCATCATTTCATTGTTTCCTGGATGTGATCTACTAGGCTTTTCTTTATGACTGGTGAGGATTGAGTGGAGTGAATTGCACTTTCAGTGTACCCTGTCATATCGCATGGTCAAGTCTTCCGTTGTGTTTCTCTCTCCCAGTGCGGTGTGATACTCCTATCCTCTCCCCTTCCTTTTGTGTATGTATGGGCATACCTAGGAGTCCATGTGAGTAAGTGTTGGTCTTCAGACAACAAACAACCAGAATCATAACAGCCATATCTCCACGCTGAGCAAGAGGCTCAGCCTCTTTTTTGCTGGGTGCAAGTTCAGCGTCACGCTGCTGGAGTGCTGGTTGGAGCAGCGCTGGTGTAAGCAGCGCTACGGGGAAGAAGGGCGCCCAGCTCTCCACCTTGGCTATGGTGGAGGAGCTTGGGTAGGAGGAGGAGGAAGAAGGGGACTAGGAGAGGGGAGCACCAGGGGTACTTACCTGGCTATGGTGGACGCCATCTTCATCACCATGGTGGGCGTTGCATCTGGAAGGCCTCGGCTGTTGGGGTAGAGCTGCATCAAGAAGCTTTGAGGCAGAGTCAGGCATGCCGGCCTGAGTGGAAGAGGCCATAGCTGCTTTGCGTTGTCTTTTGCACGTCAGGGCAAGGCCCTTAGTAGTCAGCCATAGCCTCAGACTGGAAGAAGAGAGAGAAGAGGGCATCCATGGCTATTGTGGACCTCAAGTTGTGCTGGCAGTGGAAGAGGAATTCGGACATTGATTCTGGTTCTGCCATTGGTCTTTTGCTGGTGGACATCTTCTTCTTCTTCTTACTTTCTTTCTTCTTCTTCTTCTTCTTCTTTCCTTCTCTCTCCCATCAAGCTCATTCATTTCCTTTTGCAATTGGACAACATTGTAATTTCTCGTGATTTTGCACTTCGACATTGGCCAGGATTGTAACGAGATAAGGCGAGAGATGGGAGGGAAGAGAGCACACTTAGAGAGAAAATGCCAAGAGAGAGGAAGGCAGAGAGAGAGAGAGAGAGAGAGAGAGAGAGAGAGAGAGAGAG